GGGGGGTTGTCCTGCAGAAGTGATTGTTTGTGTTGTAGAGATGTATGTAAGGGACAAGCAAGGCTTTGTGTTGATGCATGCGTGCCATGTTGTGCCTTCTTGCGCTTTGCGGTGTTGAAGAAAGCTGTGGACGTGTGGTCTGGATGCAGGCAAGATGTCACAGACGATATGTGTTCAAATATATGTGTGTGTGTGTGTGTGTGTGTATGAGTGTGTGCGTGTGCATCCCCTTCACCACCACCTCTCGGCACCCCTCCTCCCATCCCTTGATTTATGATGCTGTTTGGCAGTATGTATATGTGTGCAGAGTAGGAGGCAGAGCGGGATGGAGAAGGCAGAGGCGAGAGCTTATTTATAGGGCGGCGTGGCTCGGAGGAAGGAAGACGGGGAGGGGTGGAAAAAAAAAAAGGGAGAAAAGTGATCATGCCATTGTCGGAGGCGCTTGCACAGTTTGTTGTTATTTGCGCCAATAATCGGGATAAGGATGGGATCATCAGACGAGCGGCAGAGGAGGAAGGGAGACGGCCGGATGGGGGGTGGAGAGAGGGAGGGCGCGGGGGTTTTTTTTTTGGAGGGCGCGGGGGTGGTGGGGGTGGGGGGTTACATGCAGGCGAGGGGGTGCGGGATGGATGGCAGGCTTCAGGTGAGAGTAAAACCGCGCAGTGGGAACAGAGCGGTTCGGGTGGACTATCGAACGTCAGGTCCGACGAGCAACTGTTTGTTGAAATGTTGCGGCGCGGCGAGAATGAATCGCACTCAAAAGGCCCGAAAATCAGTCAAAAAATAAACACGCTTCCTTTGCCGTGAAATATTCATGAGCCACTTAGCGCAAGGAGCTCTTCAACTTATTTACGGCAGAGAAGCAATGTCACCACTAAGGCGGCCCGGGCCCTTCGCAGGTTCAAGCACGTCCCAAGCAGGTAAAAGGACTTGCAGCTTTTTTTTTTTTGTTTTTTTTTCTTCTCCAACCCGAGGTAAATTCTTGATGAGGGCTGCTTTAAAAATACCCAGCGAGAGCAGAAGAAAAAGCAGAGCGGGCCGGGAGGCCTCTGCGAAGTCAATGCAGCACAAGCTTGGTTGGGGCATGTTGCAGTGCTGAGGAACAGCACAAGGTCGGGGTCGAGACGAGGGCCGACCTCGTCCACTTTTGACGATGGCAACGAGCTCGTGGGGACGGGAAGGGCGCTGTTGTTCTCATCCTCATTTTTGAGGCCAAATCATACAACGAGACGGCGCGGCCAATTTCAATGCCGGATTCGAAAGGACCGTAGCCGCGCGTGAAAAACGGAATCAAAAGTAAAGCGGAGCCTCCAAGGTCGTTGTATCAACAAGCCGTTCGGGGAAAGGGTCAAACTCTAATTTGAATGAATTGTTGGCAGCAAATGAAGGAAATTGGAGGAATTTGTTTCGGGGTGAAACTGTTGCCATCATAAACGCTTCGCTCACTGGGACCGGCCGTGTTCTAACGTGACATGACGGGCGTGGAGAAGGCTCACTTGTGCTTTTTGTTTTACATCCGAAAATTAGCCCAAAGTTTAGTACTGCTTTACAATAACCGAAAACCGCTCGCCAAACCGTGACCAAAAAGTCTGCATGTATTCCTGTCGGAAAAAGGAAGCAAGTAACCTGAAAATGGTGTTCAGGATCTCGTTGGGTCGCTTGGTTTGGCAAAATCCATTTGTATCATTTTGAAGAGTTGGATGCAGGGTGAATTGACGGGTCAGGACTGCAAAGTGAGGCGCAAAGACTTAGTCTCACCCCATCGCCTAATTATTGCATCATCCTCGCACCTCACTCTCCGGACATGACGAGTCAGTCGACTTACAACGCAACTTTGACACGGACTGTTTTGACCAAGAAAATATGTCACGTTGTAGAAGAGGAAGGAAAATGGTCATCATAGAAAGAGAGCTCGTTAGCTTTCGCATTCCGCGCTAGCAAGTGTCTTTTCACTCACTTCCATTTCGTACTATATATATATTTTTTTCAACCAGACAATGATAAAAACAAGGAAAATACAACTTATTTTTTGGGCTGGAACGGATTAATTCTATTTCCATTCGTTACAATGGGGAAACATTTCTTCCATGGACGAAGGTTGCAGTTGGCGGACGCAGTCTGGGAAAGAATCGTTTGTGAAAGGAGGTTTCACTGTATTGGGTCCGTTAAGTGCTCGTATTAAAAAAAAAAAAAAAAAAAAAAAAAGAGGGTTGCAGATGTGTCTTTACCAAATATTTTGGTCCAAGTAAATTTCTGTCACACAGCGCTGTTCCAGGTTACGATGGTTCCCCACATACATTTGGAGGTTTGGAGCGGCACGCTAAGCCACGCTCGATTCCCATGTGGATGTTTTATGGCAAATTATTTTTGATGCTTCGCACGTGTCAACGGAGCCGGTTTGCTTTTACGGATCCCCATTTCCAAACACACGCCAGCCTATCAATGGAGACAAGAACGTTTCGGGCAGCTCGTGTCTGCACCTGATGCGATGCTGATGTCACCTCCCCCCCCCGATTCAGCGGTAGTAGCAGCCAGGCTAACGCGGAGGCACGGTTGTGTTTATCCTGGGTGAGAATAGCTTTAGTGTGCACTATTGATCGCGCTTCTCCGCTGCAGTCCGAGCTGCCAAGCAGAGATCAACAGGAGGGAAGCGACAGGCTGCCCGATCGGGTCTGGCTTTTCGTGAGGCGGGAGTAGCCGCCATGTGTCTGGACGGCCTCCGGTAACTCGGTCATTAAGTCCGGCCTCGCATCCGTGACAGCCATTTCCTCCCAAAATCAGGCCGTTGTGGAATACGACTGTGAAGCATGAAGAGTGAATCGAGTACCTTTGGCTTTGAAGAGGTGGCATTTTATGTCGGAATCGGAGCGTAGTCGGCCAACGTTTCTGCTTCTGGACTCGATGGGGTGTCTTCTCTCATTTTGATGATTTTGGACAAAGGGCTGAGAGAACTGTCCCAAATCTGTAAAACAAGTGTCGTGTTATTCCCTTTCTTTTCCATAGCGGTGATCTTGTTTAGTGTCTTGGGTAAGCTTGAGTCTGTCCCAGCTGATTTGGGCCCAAAGGCGGACCACCAGTCTGCCAGTCAATCGCGGGGCACATGATGAGCCAGACAAGCATTCACACTTGCATTCACACCGTCAGTCAGCGAACTGAACCGCTGCCAACAAGGGAAGTCACCCAGCCCTCCATTTTCTATAGTGCCTTTCCGCATTTGGGTGCCAGTCCCAAGCGGACTTTGGACGAGAGGTGGGCCTGCGCCCTGGACTCATTGCCAGCCAATCGATGGGTGCACATCGTAAGGGTGGGGGAGAATTAAAAAGGGGGGGGGGGGGGGGGGCACAATTTTGTTGGCAAAAGGAGGGTGGACAAAGTATGAACATCAGGGGTGCTAATAATTGTGACACACATCATTTGATGTAAAATATGCCCCCCCTCCCCTGACCCCGACTGAATAAATGCACTTGAATTCATGGTTGGGTTTTCTGTTTTTTTCTGATTTATTCACATAAATCTTAACCAGGGGGTGCCAATTATGACAGAGGGCAGTGTAGGTGCTGCGAAGAGCTAAAATCCAAGTTTAATTGACTGCCATCGAGAAAATGAAGGGGGAAAATAATAAAACCAAAATAATTACTGAATAAACGCTTATGTATTTTCCACAAAAAATGGGGGTCACCCCACAAAAAAAAAAAAAAAAATGACCCACATCCCAAAAAATGTAAACAGCTGAATAAACTGGTGCTGAACTGTGAGTATGCGGCGGTCTACTAGCATAGAAGAAGCATGCTTTTAATCCCCCCACAGAAATAGCTTGATTATTATATATATTTTTAAAAATATAAATCAAGGGGCCACTTAGAATGAGGATGCGGACCAACGGGAATAGACAAGCATAAACACTTAGGGACAATTCAGAGCCCGCTCTTGACTTAACATGTTTTTGACCTGTCAGAGGAAGTTGTACTGAAAGCACCAAGACACAGAGCGACCATGCAAAGTCCACATCGGAAGGTCAGAGCCGAGATATGAACCCCCCAAAACTCGACAACAAGACAGACGTGCCCTCTTCATCAGTCGGAGAGGTCAATCTCCTTTGACCTCTCCCGGCCCGGAAAACCCCTCAAAAAGGCTCGGCAGCGTCCGCAAACCTGCCTGTGACCTTCTCCCGCTCGACCTTTGAGAGCATTCTGACCCACTGCGTCGCGTTGGGCTTCCCCCACCGCACCGAGGAAGAACAAAAAGAGTCTTCGGAGGGGGCGGTCATGACAATGCGGAAGGTCATCGCGGTGCCAGAAGGTCATCTTCACATCCGGTTACCCAGGAAGGGTCGAGGCAACCACAAGTGACAACCGGCACCCTACCCACCCTGCCCACTGCCTCTTTGACCTGCTGCTCTCTGGCAGGCGCTACCGGTCCATCAGGGCCCGCAGCAAACAGACTCGGACAGCTTCTTCCCACATGCCGTCACTGCACTGGACTCACAATAACACCGAGGCTGATTCCAGACCGCTTTGGACAGTGGACATTCATGACCGTGCTGCTGCTGCCTAACATATTAGACTCCAACCGTTGTTCCCAATCAATAAGATGTCGGGCGGCGTGCATGTTGATCATCTCCGGACTTCCCTTTCTCACCCCGGCATTTTGTTGTTGCTCGAAGCAACATTTTACTCCCAGCTCACGCCCAATCAAAAACTCCGCTAAGCTAGCTGGCCGAAAGTCCCAACAGTGGCTAAAATCCCACTTTTCTTTCGTACGATCGACACACGCGCAGAGCCTGTCGGCACGTTGATGAATCGATTGTCGTAAACTAAGAATTTTATTGACTCCTTCGGGCCTTTTAACATCTATTTAGCCTGCGTATCCTCAACCCCGCCGGGTGACGCCATCGCGATGCGCGGGGCATCCATCACACACCCCCTCCCCCCCGCCCCCTTTGCAAAGCAAAAGGCCCTGAGAAGACGTCGATGGGAGGCGCAAATTCCTTTTTCGCCTCATCAGCAAGGAAAGGCACGCGAAAACATCAGATGATAAAATTGGTCCAATATTTGTTCCTTTGTGTCAGGGAATCAGCTTTGGCGCAAGGGCGCAACGCAGCATTATGCATGCTTCATTGAGAGCAAAACGACCAAAGCCATTACTATTAGTCACGGCGCTCATACTGTCCCGACACCCCTGCGCGCCTTTGCCGTCGATATCATCAACACAACCTTTGCTGGAGATCATCAGAAGCGTTTTGCTGTATTCATTTGCCAGGTCACATGATACCCGTGAGTGCTCAAAAAACATCAATGGGCGCATACATCAGGGCATTGTTTGGGCCGTGTCTCCGACTGCCGTGGCGTAGGCCAGCAGCTGCGGCGACGTGGGAGTTAAGAGCGTGGATGTGGGGCATTGTGACAGGTCACTTTTTTGTTTTTTGATGGAGGTCAGTTTGCACCATTCAAGACACACGCAAGCAAGTGATGCAGGGAAATTTACAGGCGTGTTTCTGGTACTTTTCTTGTTGTGTTTGCCATCGTGCCACTCGGTGTCTTGACCGTCTCTGGTCACCTTCTGTGATGCTTGCATCCTATTGAATAGACAGACCTGAAAACCTGGACTCACCCCCACTCACCCATTTTTAGTATGCTTATCTTATCCATCCATCCTCTGATCCGGTTAATCCTCACAAGGGTCGTGGGGGGTGCTGGAGCCTATCCCAGCCGTCTCTGGGCAGTAGGCGGGGGACACCCTGAACCGGTTGCCAGCCAATGGCAGGGTACACACAGACGAACAACCGTCCGCACTCACACTCGCACCTAGGGACAATTTAAGAGTGTTTAATCAGCCTGCCATGCTTTGTTTTTTGGAATGTGGGAGAAAACCGGAGTACCCGGTGAAAACCCACACAGGGACAGGGAGAACATGCAAACTCCACACAGGATGGCCGGAGCCGGGATCGGACCCACGGCCTCTGCACTGTGAGATCGACGCGCTAACCACTGGACCATCGGGCCGCGATGCTTTCATTTAAAAAAAAAAAACAAAACAAAACAAAACTTGCCACTGACTGAGCTCGAGTCTCACATGTTGTGTTGATGCAGTTCAGCAGGGGTGCCCAAACTACAGCCTGGGGGCCATTTGCGGCCCGCCTCAGCATATATATACTGTATACAGGAATAGGTTTTGACACAGCCTGCAACCCTATTGGGTGCAGGCTGTGTGTGTGTTGGTGTGTGGAGAGCGGGTGTGATGCACCTGACACCTACGACTACGAACAAATTGGGCCGATGCAGCTTTTGTAAATACGCAAAGAAAGTATTCACAATTCAAATCGTCACAACATTTCTCTTTATAATGCCTCCTGAACTAAGATATTTCAGTTTCAGAAGCCAAATTTTCGTATCCGTGTCCACATTGTACGAATTTTCGATCTAGCCGATTCATCATGCTTGCTTACTTGAGTTATTGTGAGAGCGCCACATTGGCCACGCATCCCTGCTGTTAACCGGCAAAGCTGGCAGACTGAGGCGGAGTCTGACTGATTGGCTTCGGTCCAGTTTGGCAAAGCCTCGTCGGCATCGACCTATTCAAGGTGAATGAGTCGTTGGCGTAACACTGAGAGACAGCGAGGCCTAATGACCCTTACCTGCACGTACGCTCGACATCCAAGGACAAGTGGGTCATCACCCGCAGACCACGGGAGTTAACGCAAACGAGCCCGTACGTGGGCTCGCACTTGCGCTCATGTGGAGCTTTTTGGTCAAAGTGACGAATCAGAATGTGTGGGCGCGTGAGGCTGGCCGTTATTATTATTTTTTTTTGGTAAACAATGTGACTCAAGCGCCCAGTGAGTTATGAAAATGAAACATAACGCTACGAAAGAGCGCTTTTCAGTACCCGCGGAGTGATCTGAGGGGCGGAGGGGGTCGGGGGCGTGGGGTGGGCGGTCGTAATGTTGTGCCGGAGCGTGTTTATGGATTTCTGTGCAATTGCGCACGCACTCAGCATCGGTATGTGACCGGCGCTAATTGCGTCTTTGTCATCTGCAGCTGCTCAGCTCGCAGGAATAATCAAGATGGCACGCGGCGGATGACGTGATATCAGCCCGGCGCCTCGCGAGCCCGTTTGGGCCTTCTCTGCAGCTTTTTGTCCTTTTCCCAGAAGTGGATGACAGTTCCAAGTGGGCTCTGAACGCTCCTTATAAATTGAGCAGAGCATTAGGAGGTTTGCGGGCGTCATCGGGCTGATGAAGCTTGGCTGAATCTCTCGATGCTACTTTCCACAGGTTTCGGGTTACCACCCTAAATGCGGCGCGCCGGCTCGGAGTCGATGACATATTTACCTTGCAGCAGTCAAGGCTATCAACACGTCCCAGAGGCCATTTTCATGCCTCCCAAGTTAATGACTCGCGCTGTGTTTTGACATCTCGCACTCCTCCCCTGCAATTTTATTGCAGTTGAGTTTTCCTTGCGCCAAACTTGGCCGGCTGGGTGCCCACCGCACTCAGCCGGCATCTGCACAGATCACTGCGAGAGGGCTTCTATCCGAGCCACAGCCACCCCCGCCGCCCCCCACCCTCAACCCCCTCCTCTGTGACAACCGGCCGGCTTCACCGCGGCTGTCCTGATAAACAAGCGTCAAACTCCCCTCCGGTTCCTCACCGGAATGGCCGCAGGGTAGCGGGAGTCAAGGAAAGACAGATGACAGTCAAGTGCTTCTCACTTGAGCGGCAGCCGTCAAGCCGCTGCGGTCCAAGCGGGAGCTGACAGTGCGAGCGCTGCGGATCTTTGGTCATTCATTACGCACGGCTGAACCGCTCCCTGTTTTCCTCCCGGTGCTCCTCCGTCTCCCCACCCCGCCTTGCTCCTGCTCCTCCTCGGCCGCGCTCAAACAGGCTCTCCCCCGTGACTGCGGGGCGGCACCGTTGAATGTGCGGGGGAGGAGAGAGAGAATGCCAAGCGAGGAAAAAAACAAAACAAAAAACAACGGTCATGTGCCTCGTTGTTATTGTTGCCCCTCCATCCTGAAGGAGGAATCCTGCGCATTGGCTTGATGCGCTAGCGCTGAGAGCATCAGCGAACGGGGTGCGGAGACACACACGAGCGTGCCATAGCCTTAGAAACCACCGAGATGCTGGCTAATGACTACTGACCCGTCCTCTGAAGAGACATTCTGAGCCCGTAGCCTAAACAAGTCGGACGAATGGCAAACACAGACATCTAAACCATTGTGGATCACTTCACAAACGCACTGATGTCATCCTATACGACGGCCACTCAAGATATTGGACGACACGCAAAGGTTTGCGCAATGGTCCGTCCGGCGCTGTCCGTAGGCTGGAGCTCCACGTTGGGATTTTATGTCAAGGAAGAGTGACTGCTAATCCACTAATTGGACAAGCGAGGCTGCGGGAGAGCGAGCGGAGCACAAAGTGAGCGAGGCACACGTGGCACGATGCTGTAGGCTCAATATAGTATGCGGGTGCGCATACATTATGTTTGCAGGGCATGTTGAAGGAATCTGGGACGCTCTCCTCTCCCTCCCGCGACTGAAAAGGTTTTACTGACATAAGGAACCATCTCATGCCGTACCGCGCAGCGCCAAAAAGGAGACACGCCTGACTAATCCCACTCGGGTCACGCGCAGTTCAGCTCTAATAGTAAAATTTGCAAACGTCTCAGACAGTCTTTACCGCCGCTTGGGGAAGATCATCAGCGCTTTCTTTGGCGCTTTTTGCTGAGACGAATGCTTTCTTTAATAAGGACACCTTGCCCAAGTTGTTTTATGCCGGCCGGCACAAGGAGAAGTGCATCCTAAATCAGCCGTCCGTTCATTTTCCCTCCCGCCGATCCGGTTCAGAGTCACAGAGGAGCTCGGGACTGGCCGTGGACGTGGGCTAACGTTTTATGGGGCTAAAGGCTTTATGACTCCATCAGAGGACGGCATCAGCGCCGCCTTCAAGGTTGTTCAAAGGCTTTCAAGCGCAAGACTCTGATCCTCAACAACCTGAAGTCGGGACGGCTAAAGCTTGGTTGGGCTCTCCAAACCATCCACTGAAATGAGCTTGTGTTGTTGTCAAATTCCAGGGCTGCCTCTGGACAGACTTTCCCAGACTTTGGGCCTGCTCAAGAGGTTTTCACCTTTGGCGGTGGTGGTGGTGGTGGACAGCAGTGCTTTCCGCTGCCAAGAACAGCCCCGGTTTTGGGGAACTCGCCGTGGATCGCGTCAATGGCCCTGCGTGTCGATAAAGCTTCGCAAAGTGGCGCTGAACTGCATTTGGGGACCGAGAAACATCTTGACGGGCGGCCATTTTGCAATGCGCTGTCAATTAGCGGGTCAAGGGAAAGGCAAATGATACGCTTGGGAAAAGGGCAAAGACGAATCTGTCTAATGCTGATGATGGCCCGGCATCTGTCAGAGCGATCCCAGAGATGAAATGAAAGAAAGAGACGCGCCTTGGAGGCAGCCATTCATATTCTGATTCAGTCCTCTCAAGGAGTAGATGCATCAGCGACGCCGCTGTAAAATCAATCCCCATCCACACCGAGCGACAACAATTACTGAATGCGCCAGCTTGAAAATGGAGTTAATAAATTTAGAGGAGTAAATTTTCTCAGCTGGTCACAGTAAATGCGCTTAGCTGGAGAAACTTGATCAAGCTCCTTATTTTGGGTGCCATTCAGGTTACCCCCCGCACACCCCCCCCCCTCCCCATTCAGTTTGAGTTGAAAACGTCAATGACCGCGAGGTCTTCTTTTGAGTGTTTGCTTTCTGTGGCCGCATGCAAGGGGGAAAAAAAAAGTGAAACAAAATTTGGTCTGACATATATAAGCTGTTTAACGTTGCACACTGACAACAGGAAGAATCAAACAAAGTGCGCCGCGATGAAAGTGGGTCAAATGGAGTGGAAATAAAATGCCATGAATGTGTCAAGTAAGCGCTCCAAATGATTCAGTTGCCGATTTGAAGTCTCGCACGAGGAAGCCGCCACAATCAAATAACCGAACGGACGCGATCACGGTGACGCAATGTGGCCAGAGGGTCCGCAGAGGGTCACTTTCTGGATTGGACTCTTCGCCTTCATCCCGTGCCCTTGCGGTTATCCGATCGTGGACTGGATGGAGTTCAGAGGAAAGAGGCCAGCGGGCACAGGGCGGATGTTTTTTTTTTTGAATGACTGGGTCAGTGGGTCACAGACATCACTGGCCATCCACAGAGCCAAAGCGGTCTCAAGAGCGCTCCTGAGGAAATCGCTCATCGTGGCCAAATGCCGCGGTGACGACACCATCGCCTCCGCAAGGTACACGCTGTGCTTACACGGGAGCGCAGCGCAGCCCTCGGAGAGTCGCGCGTACGCAGCTGATACAGAGAGCAGGCACCTAGAGACCGGAGCTGTGTTTAAACCCAATTACCAGTACACTCGATCGAATTAAACCAATGTTTTAATTAGGATTTGAGCGGTCGGGAAAGCGCGGGGGGTGGTGGTGGTGGTGGTGGGGGCGGGTGGCGGGTTTAATAACATTAATTTGTCCAACCGAGAGGGTCTTGTAAACGAGTTATTGTTGATCTATCATTCTTTTCATTGACCAATAATTGGAAACTTTTAACGGACTGCTGTTGGGAGCTCCGGCTTGCTTTTTTTTTTCAGATCAGGATTTTGAACGCCAGAAGCTTGTAATATTTAGACGCAAAGCATTCTTTGAGCCGATGCTCCCTCGTTCAGTTTCACCCTAGTTGCCTTTATCTCCCGCTATTTACATCTTTTTTTTTTTTTTGTCCTTGGAGCTTGACGAAAGTAACGAGCCTATTATTATTTGCACCTGCGACTTGTGGCTTCCGCTTTTGTCTCGAAGCCGACTTGAATCAAAGGAATGAAAGTTAATAAATATCCTCTCTCTCTCTCTTTCTTTCTCTCTGCCGCTTTCTTTCTTTTCTTGCCTGCTCTCAGCAGCAGATGGCGTGCCGGTCCAGAAGGATGGGGAGCAGGTAAGACCTGATTCCACCTTCTGCCACAACTTTTCCCACAGGCGGACGAGCCGGGCAACCAACATGGCTGACTTGATGTAGTCAAGTGTCACACCAGCGCAGCCGCACGCTGAGCTGCGGCACTGAGAGCCGGCTCGGCCCTTGACTGGAGCTCTGTGTCAAGTGCCGCTGCTCGCGCTAGTAGAGGAGGAACCGTAACGCAGCCTCGCGTCGGTGTCGCCGTTCCACCGCGTTGCACGCCGCGTGACGCGGTGCCCTAAGCGCCGGAAGACCGAGCGACGTCTGGCTCAGTCACCGTTCCCCATTTACAGCCTCTCCACCCTCATCCTCATCCACTGGGCGGTGTGGAGAGACAGGAAGCCATTTTTCACCAAAAACGCAGCTTCACTTTTCAAAGCAAATGTGCTGCAGAGCGATTCCATGATTTATTTATGCGCCATGCCCTTGCTGAGAGGAAAAACACCCACACCCATGACCATTTTTGGGAGCCTTTTTTTTTTTTTTTTTTGTTAATGATGGAAGATGGGAGCTTCTTCAGTGGGTGCGCACGATCACCCAAGCGTTTAATCCCTTCATCATACACACCCCAACGTGAGGGGCGTCAGAAACGACGAGAGGAAGCCACCACGAACGATAGTTTACATCAAAAAGGAGGCGTAAGAAAACGAACAGGAAGTCGCCATGAATGCGAGCAATGGCTGCATGCGCGGCCGCGAAACATGAAAACTGACACGCGATGTCCATTTTAAAGGAGTCTTCAATTAAATTCATGGGAGTCCAAATCACAAAGGATTTGATAGGAAACAAGCATAACTAAATGTGGGGAAAAAAATTTGCTTTTCTGCTGGGACTGACTCAAAAAAAAAAATAAAAGAATGATTTGCGGTGTAACTGAACAGGTGATTTGATACGAGCTATTTTGAACTAGCTCATTATTTTCTTTCGTCCTCATGGACATGAATGTAAAAAGACGACAAAGAGAGCCAAATTGGCTTTTGTGAAGTATTCAAACAGCGACCTTGACCTTGTTGCCACCAAATCCTAAATGAGCTCACCTTTGAATCTGGATGGAGGCGCCCGATAGACGTGGGACGAAAATGTTTCCACTTGATTGGTGCTCGTCTCGAAACTGAGCGTGATGATCGACTTTTCGGCAGCGCCGGTGGCCACCCGGTGTCCTGGTCTAGTTAGTGTCCAGCTGATAAAAGCGAAATCCCGCCTTATCTTCTTTGTCCTCGGGGGTGGCCTACACACACACACACAGACACACACACACACCCCTAAGCACAAACACACACACAGGTCTCGCTTCAAGCTTCGGTCCTTCGACTGACAGCTGCATCAGATACGACTGACATCTTTTTCTGCTTTTCTATTACACACAGACACTCGTAGCAGCTCTTCGCAAGATAGTGTGCACTCGGAAGACACAACATTAGGCTCAACCGCGCAGCGAAAATTGCGATTCGGTACAAAATTGCATCGAGAAAAAAAAATGACAAGATGATTGTGGTTGCAGTGGTGTAGCGCTGCACTGAATTCGACTGCGAGATGTTTGTAAAAGGCTATCCGTTTTCTTTCTATGTTTAGGGAACTTAAATATAGTTGTGTGGGGTTTTGTGGGGTTTTCTTTTAAAAAAACACACACAAAAAAACATTCCGCCAAAATAATCTTCCATTTGTGCTCATTGAGTTTTTAGCGCATTTGAAACATCACCATAATGATGAGCAACTTGTGTTTTGTGTTTTTTTTTTAACTAAAACTTGTCTGCCCATCGATGAAAGTGAGTTCCCCGAGTCGAAGACGAAATGAAAGGGTTGAGGAGAAAAATGAAGTCAGACTGTTTTTCCTCTGATTTGAAGTTTTGGTTTTTTTTCCTCCCAAATTTTCCAGAGGCAATGTCACACAAAGACATTCCCCAAAAAGGCCGTTTTTATCGCCAAAAAAAAAAAAAAAAGCCATCATCCGATTTTCAAAATGACTGCTGTACCGTACTTAGTTTGAAGCTGCCACTCCCACCAGACTAATTGCTCACAATTCTGACCAAAACAAAACAATTCCAGGGAAGTAGAGTTGAATATGAAAAGCCCATTTGCCTGAAAGGGCTTATCGGCAAAAATGCTTGAGCGATGCGTTTTTTTTTAATGTATGTGGAATTTTTGTTGTTGTTGTTGTTGTTTTTAATGGATTGGGTTGCTCTCATGTTTTTGTTCCTCAATAAAATAATTGAGTGTTCCAAAAAATATTGAAAACTTGATCTAGTTCTACTCACAAATGCATATGTGGAAACGTCACGGGCTTTTCAAATGTATCATCGGGCATGGATTTGCATTCACGCTCGCAATTGGGAATCGTTGTCAAATCCGCCGGCTTTTTAAAAGTACAGCAATGTAGCGGAAATGTTGCAGCCGCTTGCAACGCGAATCAAAGCGGAGCATGATTATCTCTTTGAATCCATCTCGTATTGGATTGCGCAGGTGTAAGGGTGTGAGGCGGCTCATTCCTCCCCCTGCGTATTCGTCTTCAAGCCTGCTCCTCATCAGTGAACCAATTCAAACTGATGGCTGTTCAATTCCCCCTCTTCCCTTCTGTCATTCTGGTCCTCGCCTCTGTCCTTCCTGGAAAATCCCGTCCGTGTCTGGCGTCTGGCCTCGTCTTCTTGGTCCGCATGTGTAAACTCCCAATCTGTTGCACTCTGCCTCTGTGCTCCCCGCATGTCAATGCTCTCTCTCTCTGTGTCTCTCTCACACTCCGTCCCTCCTATCTTTCCTCCTCAGCATGGACGCTCAGAATTTTCATGGGAGGGGATCAATGTAAGTGTTGCCACACATCGCTCCTTTGCTCCTTTCGTGGCCTTGTTTTGATGGGGAAAGGCACAAGGTCGATTCTTCACCTCCCCCTCCTCCTCCCCACATCGCTCACCTTGGCTTTCGAGTCTTGTCGGTTGTTTTCCGTGGACGGGCGGGCACAGTCGGACTAAGCGCACGTTAACTTGCGAGAAGGCTTCTGGGGCCCATGTAGATTTGTATTAATCCAACATCTCCATCACCTCTCCCCTCCACTCACCTCTCTCGAACACTGTCCCGGTGTCTTTGTGTGCCCCGTCACACCGTCCATCCTATTCTTTTCTCCCTCCGCCATCCCTCTCTCCTTCCTCTCTGCAGCTGTCCATGGAGGACACCACGTCCATCCTGCCGCGCCTCAAGAGGAACTCAAACGCCTACGGCATCGGCGCTCTGGCTAAGTCTTCTCTGTCAGGTGTGTCAGGTGTGTGTCTGTGCCGTGACCGGTAAAGAGACCCCATGTTGGCTCCGCTGCCCCCCTGCGTGGACGCTGGAGTCAGCATGGTACCCAAAGTGGGTTTCCCTTTTTTTGTTTGTTTTTTTT